ATGGCACAAGTATACATATGTAACAAACCTGCACGTTATGCACATGTACCCTAGAACTTAAAGTATAATAATAATAATAATAATAATAAAAAGTAGTAGTGACAATGAGGCAATGATAACATCAACTGAGAATGATTCCACTTGTAGGTAGATCACAATAGTGACAAATGGTTGACTGTATAATCTAATGACGTGAGTGTTAGAGAGGGAAAGAGGAAAGGCAAATGTCCTGAAAGAACAAGGAGGAAAGAGGACACCAACCCATCTTCAGGTCCAGCAGTGAGAAGACCAAGAAAAATACAACAAAAATGGGTTTCTGGGCTGATAGTATCTTGAGAGAAGAGACAAATTTCTGTTAGAGCAAGAAAGTAAAAGGAATTTCAGAAAATAGGGTAAAGATATAGGACATTTTGCTGAAATAATGAATCAAATATTCCAAAAGGCAAAGTAGAACTCTTTCAGGAATTGCAGTGGGTAGGAGATGGGGACAGAACACGAAAGGTAATAAAAAATAGAATGAAGGGCCTGAAAACTGGGGCCTGTCATAAACAGGAATAAACAGCATCTTATTAGATTAATCCCAGTGAATTCAAATCAAAAGTAAAGGAGGAGATATGAAAGTTAAAGTTAAGTAACAAATTAACATGGCTCTCTCTCTATATATATCTATACACACATGGTATATGATACATGAAGTCATTTATACATGTATATCTACATAAACAAACTTCCCATATTTGACTTCATTATCATAATATCATAATAGTGAAGCCAGATATGGGAAGTTTTTATATATGTATGTTTATATATGTAGTTATATGTATACACACACACACATACATGTAGATAGATAGATAGATAGATAAACTTCCCATATTTGACTTCATTATTTAGGTACTTTATATTGCTCCTTAAATTAATTTTCCTTTTGAGTAATATTTTTTAAAGTCATCTTACCCAAAACAAGGTGGCCTTTTCAGTAGCCATTTTATTATATCACAAGAATTCTGTGGATTAGGAATTCAAGCAGGGCTCGGCTGGACATTAATTGAAGTCACTAAATGGTATTCAGCTGACAGATGGGCTGGTTTGAAGGGTCAAAGTCAGCTTCACTGGCAGGCTGGAGACTTGGCCAAGATGGCTGGAAGGCTGGACTCAGCTGGGACTATCTGCTAGAACATCTATACACGGCCATTCCAGCATGGCAGTCTCAGGGTATGAGGACTTATGTGGTGATTCACTTCCTCCAAAAACAGTATCCTAAGATAACCAGGTAGAGGCTGCATAGCTTTTATGGACCTAGCCCCAGAGCTCATTTTCGTCACTTCCTCCACATTCAGCTGATCACAGAAGAGTCTTAAGGGTAGCTCAATTTCAAGAAGAAAACTAGATTCTGCTTCTTCATGGGGGATTGACAAGATCATACCGTACAGGAACATGTGGAGTGGGAGAGATTGCTGTGACCATCTTTGTACAATACAATCTGCCCTGGTGATACATACACGTTTATAGGTGAAGGACAGATATATCTGAAAAGGGATTCCCAGGTTCAAGATCAAAATAACTATAAACCGTGTTCATGATAAACTATTTACTTTGTATATTTTTTTTTTAGAAGAGTTTCGAGGATCCACGGTGGAAACTATATCTCAAAACTCAGAACATTTGGAAGAACTCAGTAGGTATGATAAATCAAGTAAAAAGTTTCTATTAAGTACCCACTTTGTGCAGTATACTAAGTATAATCTCATTCTCCAAACACAAAAAGAGGAGTTTCATCCAGCACTTGATAACCTTAATACTGAAACACTGCTTTAAAAAAAAATCACAGATTTATTGTCAAATATCACATAAGGTTAAGTATTTTTAATTTTGAAGCCACATATGAAAATTACAGAAAACAAATTATTTTTCAAAACAAATGTTCTTTACTTTCTAGCCCAATATAAAAGTTAAATCTACAATTTATTTTATTTCAGATTTCCAGGTGATCAAAAAAATGAAACTTAAAGCAGCTTTTCACTTAACATCAAAGCGAGAAGAAATCCATCATGTCACCTTAGACTTCAATACTTGTAATAGAAACATGTTACAGACAATATAAAGTTATAAAAAAAACTGACTGTGACTCTTTTCATTGGATTTTGTATTGCAGTATATTACTATAAATTTAGTCCAAAACATCTAAATCCATGAAAATAAAATATATTCCAATTCTTAGAAATATCAGCAATCATCCAGGAAATAAATAATTTCCTCTTCTCCACTATTCCACAAGAAATAGTGATACCACGAAACCAAAATAAGAAAATATTTTCTAATGAGAAAATAATTACAAGCTTAAGAAAATCTTTCTTGCTGAATTCATGTAGGATAATATTTACTAAAATTCTAGGGAAACTTTTCAACATAGATAAAAAGAATATAAGCAATTAAGACTACCATATTGATAAGTACTGTTTGAAACAGTTTGCTTTACCTGTGTAAAAGTATATTTTATGATACTTTTAGCTGATAGCACATAATCAAACTTACCCATGTCAACTTAAAAAGTTTAACTAAGTCCTTCAATCTTACAAGCCTTACCTAATGTGTCTTGCAAATGAAAGAACACGGCTGAGATCGTTACATGTATAATTTCAGGAGATCTGGAGATCTCCTGAAGATTACAGCTGTGAGCCACCACGCCAGGCTCTTACTTTGTTATATAACGTTTCTTTAACCATAACCATTTACATTACAAATACCCCATCTCATCTTACTCTATCTAGAAAGTAGATTAACCAGGAGAAAACTTTGTCCTTTTATAAGAACAATTCTAGCTTTGAAGTTCAAATTGAAGTTCAAATTCAAATAACAAATACTTTTTTTTCCTCTGTAATAACTGCTTTTTGCTATAGTGTCTTCTTAAATTAGTTTTAAGGTTCCTTAAAAAGATGTCTGGAAAGTTTTGTGAGAATATTTGTAATCAAAACGCCCACGTCTTTGAAAACACTTCAGAAAATTAGATATATCAAACATAAACCTATTGGCAAGGTCAACAGAAATTGGAATTTACCATCAAATGCTAAATGGCCACAGTGCTATCCCTTCTGATAGATTTAATCAAAAAGGTTTCTTTGGAGCTTTCTCCTTAAATTTCAATTTGATTCATTTTTATTTGTGAAACTGAAAACAAATCTGAAAACAAAATCAAGATTTTATGGATGATAGATGCAAGTCACAATTGCATCAAATGCTACTTCTTATCTGTAAAACATCCTCCCATAAATAATGCAGCCAGGACCACTCACTGCGAACATGTAAGCATTTACAATGGTCCCTAATTCCATTTTTTATCAAAATGACAGTGCCTAAAATACAACATTCTATCATATACTATAATTACTTTAGCTTTTAGCTTCTCCTTTTAAAAATTGCTAAGACATCATTCCTTTTCTCGTTTTCATACTATATCTAATAAGATTCCTGAAGGTGGTAGCAGGGGTGGGGCGGGGTACATCTCAGGATATAGGCAACAAACATGGGCCGGATGCAGTGGCTCACACCTATAATCCCAACACTTTGGGAGACCAAGGAGGGGGATAGCTTGAGCCCAGGAATTCAAGGCTAGCCTGGGCAACATAGGGAGACCTCACCTCTACTAAAAATAAAAATAAAAATTAGCTACACATAGCTGTGCATACCTGTAGTTTTAGCTACTCAGGAGGTTGAGACAGAAAGAAAGATCACTTGAGCGAGGCAGAGCAAGGTGGCCAAATAGGAACAGCTCCAGTCTCCAGCTCCCAGCGCGAGCGACACAGAACACAGGTGATTTCTGCATTTTCAACTGAGGTACTGGGTTCATCTCACTA